CACAGCACCCCCAGGCTCGGCACCTCCAGGCTCAGCACCCCCAGACGCAGCACCCCCAGGCTCAGCACCCCTAGGCACAGCACCCCCAGGCTCAGCACCCCCAGGCTCAGCACCCCCAGGCTCAGCACCCCCAGGCTCAGCACCCCCAGGCTCAGCACCCCCAGACTCCGCACCCCCAGGCTCAGCTCCCGCAGCAGCACCAGAGTCACCAGTGACCTCGACAGGCTCGACCGCGTCTACCTGGGACACACCTGAAGGGGCAGGACCCTGAGGGGGGAGGGGGACTACCGGGGGGGGACCTGGTACCAGGAAGAGCGGGGGTGGGGGGAGGGACGGAGTGCGGTAGGGGAAGAGGCGGTAGTAGGGTACCGACTCATCGAACGTGACGTCCTGGGAGGACAGAACACGTCGAGAGGTGGGGTGGTAAAACTGCCACCCAGGGGCGTCGGGGGGGAACCCCAGGAAGACGCAGGGAGAAGCACGAGGGGACAGCTTGTCCGCAGACAGGTCGCGAACAAACGCCCGAGATCCCCAGACCCGGAACGCCGACGCATCGCCAACCTTCCCCGTCCACAGCAGGGCTGGGGAGGTCTCCGGTCGAGAGACCCTGGGGTGGAGGTTGATCTGGTGCGCAGCGTACCTGACCGCAAACGGCCACAGAAAATGGGGAGCAGCCGCATGCATCATGGACGTACGAGCGACGTCCATGACCATGCCAATGCGGCGCTCAGCAATCCCATTCTGCTGTGGTGAGTCCGGAAGCGTGAAGGTCTGACGGATGCCTCGTGCACGACAGTAGGCACTCAGGAGGCCAGAGGAGAACTCTCCGCCTCTGTCCGAGTGCAGACGCAAAACAGGGAAGTCAGAGCCAAAGCTCCTCCGAAGCTGGAGACGAGCTGCGCGGATCCAGTCGATCAACACCGCAGTGACCTCACCCTTGCTGCGCAAGGGGAAGACTGTGGTGTAACGCGAGTAGTCGTCAACCACCAGCAAGAAGTAGCGCTCCTGACCCTGTCCACGGACGCGGGCTGGGCCCCACACGTCCATGTGAAGCGTCTGCAACGGGGCTTCTGTCGGAGGAAACTGGGAGGAGTGAGGGGCAGCACGCTGGCGCCCCTCGACACAGGGGACACAGGTAGGGCCAGGGCCCGGAGGAAGGGGAGGGAGAGACCGGGGAAGACCAGACACAAGGACTCGCGAGGCCATGCCTCTGAGCCGAAGCAGAGAGGGGTGGCCAAGGCGGTGGTGCCAGAGGAGGGTCTCGTGAGACAGACGACGACACGAGCAGGGGGCAGACTCAGGACCAGACCTGGACGCTGCAGCAAACACCTGACCAGACGAAGGGACCCTACCAGAGTCAGCACCTGGAGGAGAAGCAGTGGTCAGTGTGTACAGGCTCGACCCTGGCCGACGTGTAAACGTAGCCAGGTGGCGACCTGTATCCGCCTCCGTGCAGTGGGTCACCCGCTGACGAGCAGGGGTGAACTGGTGGACACCCGCATCCTGGAGGTCAGCACCACTCACCAAGTTCGTCGAGAACGAGGGGAGGTAGAGACCAGTCAGGGTGCCAGAGGGGGCCGCCGGACACGGGAGGACAGTGGAGAAGCGAGACAGGACAGGCCCCCCAGAGGGGTCAGCCAGGGACACCGCAACCGGCCGACTCAGCGGCGTGAGAGTGGTGCGGTCCCTAAAGAAGGAGCGAGACGCTCCAGAGTCAAGGGTGAAGGTGTGAGAGGCCGAAGCCGACACAGTACCTGAGAGGGCAGACTCACCAGCACCTGAGAGCACAGACGCACTGGCACCTAGAGCAGCAGCCTCACTAGTACCTGACGCGGCCGTACCAATGCCCGGGTCGGGCGGGAAACACCGGTAACAGTCATCCTCATCACTACCAGTCACAGCATACATAGCAGAGAGAATAGCATCAAAATCAAGATCATAAATAGCTACACCAGCCCTAGACAGCTCTCCCCAGCGGGGGATCTCAGCGGCCTCCGGAAACTGCTGACGCCAGGCGTCGGTCAGGCGGCCAAAGCAGCGGCGGGCTGTGTGGGCGCCTCCACACCTCTCCCCTGCACGGTCACCTGTGCGAAGAACGTAGGGGCAGGGACCAAGCGCACCACCACGCTGACGCTGCAAGTACCACTCACGGAGCTGCTGAGGGCCGGGGACGGTGCGAGAGCGCTGCTGCTGCTGTGGCTGCTGCTGCGGCTGCTGCTGTTGCTGCTGCTGCTGCTGGCGCTGACCACCCCCAGAGCTGCTCCGCTGGGACGAGCCACTCCGACCCCCGCCTCCACCGCCACCCCCGCCTCCACCGCCACCCCCGTCTCCACCGCCACCTCCCCCACCAGGACCGTCGCTCCCACCGCTCCCACCGCCTCCTCCGCTACCACCTCCGCCGCCACCTCCGCCTCCACCGCCGCCACCAGTACCTCCACTCCCGCCACCACCCCCACCGCCACCCCCACTCCCCCCGCCACCCCCACCGCCTCCTCCACCGCCCCCTCGAGCTCCACCCGCTCCCTTGCCCCCCTTGCTCTTGCCAGAGCGGCGTCTGCCGCTGGGGGCAGACGCCGCGCCGACCGACTCAAAACCAGTGAGGTCGGCCGCAGCGGCAGAGGCGACAGAGGGCAGCAGGGGGGAAGGACCACACCCCTCAAAGATGGGGGTGCGAGGGTCACCCCGAGAGGCCCCTACAGCGACAATACTCTTCTCAGCCGCTAGCAGGGACTCCTCAAGGAGGTCGACAGTGAGAGTGGTGGGACAGACAGAGAGAAACTGGTCCCTAACGACACGAAGGGACTCAGGGAGACGGGTGACGAGAAAGTAGAGGGTGATGTACATGGGAGGAGGGTTCGCAGCGCGGAACTCAGCAGGAAGGGCAGCGCGGTAGCGGGTGTCACTAGCACGGAGGTGGGTAACGAGGTCAGCGACAGTGGGAAAGGAAGCGAGGTCAGGGAAGAGAAACGGTAGCATGAGGCGGCTAAGGGTAGCGGAGGAAGGGGAGGAGTAGCGTGCAACTACAGCGTCGTACAAGGCCTGAGCGGTCTTGCACTGACTAAAGTGGGCACGCTCAGAGGAAGGGAGGTGGCGACGCACAGCAAGACGTGCAGCAGCATCGCGGGTCGCCCACTTGGAGCGAACGGCAGAGTCAGCATCAGCAGGTGGGGCAGGAACAGCGCCAGAGACAAAGTCAAAAAGAGAGACCTCATCTATCGCATCACACAGTAAGTACAGCTGCAGGTCTTCAATCCAGACGGCAAAGTCAATGGCCCTCCCCTCAGCGTCAAAAGTAAGAACATTGGGGGTGGCCATGGCAGCAGCTGGAAGTCTCACCGGGCTGGGAGAGTCGGGTAGGTCAGCAGCAGAAGAACACAGCTCAGGAACAGCAGCACGGCGGCTCGGGCGGCTCGGGCGGCTCGGGCGGCTCGGGCGGTTCGGGCGGCTCGGGCGGCGGCTCGGTCGCAGCTCAGCGGCGGCTCGGGCGGCGGCGGCTCGGCGGCGGCTCGGCTGCTGCTGGGCGGCTGGGCGGCGGCTCGGGCGGCTCCGGCTCGGCGGCGCAGGCGGCGGCGGCTCGGCGGCGGCCCGGGCGGCGGCTCAGGCGGCGGCGGCTCGGCGGCGGCTCGGCTGCTGCTGGGCGGCTCGGCTGATGCTGGGCGGCTCAGCGGGGCCGCGGAGCAGAGGGCGGCGGCGCCGCGTAGGAGAGGGCGGCGGGGCCGCGTAGCAGAGGGCGGCGGGGCCGCGTAGCAGAGGGCGGCGGAGCCGCGTAGCAGAGGGCGGCGGGGCCGCGATCGAGGGGCGGCGGGGCCGCGTAGCAGAGGGCGGCAGGGCCGCGTTGCTGAGGGCGGCAGGGCCGCGACGTAGGGCGGCGGGCGGGCCTTCGAAGTAGGGCGGCGGGCGGGCCGGGACGTAGGGCGGCGGGGCCGCGACGTAGGGCGGCGGGCGGGCCGTCGAAGTAGGGCGGCGGGCGGGCCGGGACGTAGGGCGGCGGGGCCGCGACGTAGGGCGGCGGGCGGGCCGTCGAAGTAGGGCGGCGGGCGGGCCGGGACGTAGGGCGGCGGGGCCGCGACGTAGGGCGGCGGGCGGGCCGTCGAAGTAGGGCGGCGGGCAGGCCGCGACTTAGGGCGGCGAGGCCGCGCGATAGGGCGGCGGAGCCGCAAGGTAGGGCGGCTCGACAGGCCGCTAGGGAGGGCGACACGACGGGTCGCTAAAAAAAAGGACGCGCGCCTCGGGGCGCGCTTCGGTGGGCCCAAGAAACAGTCCCTAGTAGGGGACCTGCTCTGATTCCATGTGAAAGAGAGAACGAGAATGAAATGACTAAGAACGAAGTGAGTACAAATAGGAAACCCTAATTGTGTTGTACCCCCTATGGGATACCCCACTATAGCCTACACAAATAAGCAAGCTATATGTTCTGACATGCTACCCCAGGTACTGGTGAGGCTACTGCTCTAGGTGCTTGTGTGTCCGCCACCCCAGGTACTACTGAGTCCACTGAGGCACTGCACACCTTCACTCTAGACTCAGGCGCTTCGCGCTGTTTCTTTCGTGACCGCACTGCTCTTGAGCCCCTTGCTCGACCAGTCGCTGTCTCGCTCGCTGACCCCTCTGGGGGTCCGGTCATTGCGACCTCCTCCACCCTCCTTCCTTGTCCTGCTGTCCCGTCGGGCACACTGTCAGGTCTTCATCTCCCCTCGTTCTCTACGAACTTGGTGGCGGGTTGTGCGCTTCAGGATGGGGGTGTTCACCAGTTCACCCCTGCCTACGAGCGCGTGACACACTGCACGTGTGCTCGGACGGGCCGTCACCTGGCTACCTTCACTCGGCAGCCGGGGTCGGACCTGTACACACTGACCACTGAGTCCCCTCAGGTAGCGGCGTCTGCGTCTACGTCTGCGTCAGGTCAGCTGTCTGCCCCCTGCTCGTGTCGCTCTCTAGCGCACAAGACTGTCCTCTGGCACCACCGACTTGGTCACCCGTCAGTGCAACGCCTTCGGGGCATGCACGCCCGGTACCTTGTCTCTGGTCTTCCTCGGGTACTCCCTCCCCTCCCACCCTCCCTTGCTCCTCCTTGTCTTCCCTGTGTCGAGGGGCGGCAGCGCGCTGCCCCTCACTCCTCCTCGTTCCCCCCGACGACTGCTCCTTTGCAGACGCTCCACATGGACTTGTGGGGCCCAGCCCGCGTCCGTGGTCAGGGCCAGGAGAGGTACTTCTTGATCGTCGTTGACGACTACTCGCGCTACACCACGGTCTTCCCCTTGCACAGCAAGGGTGAAGTCCCTGATGTCCTGATCCCTTGGATCAGCAGAGCACGTCTTCAGCTGCGAGAGCGTTTTCGCTCGGAGTTTCCTGTCCTGCGCTTGCACTCTGACAGAGGTGGCGAGTCCTCCGACCTCTTGGCAGCCTACTGTGCTGAGCACGGCATTCGCCAGTCGTTCACGCTTCCGGCCTCTCCACAGCAGAATGGGGTTGCTGAGCGCCGCATTGGCCTGGTCATGGAGGTCGCTCGTACCTCCTTAGTCCACGCGGCTGCCCCCCACTTTCTGTGGTCGTTTGCGGTCCGGTACGCTGCGCATCAGCTCAACCTCTGGCCCCGTGTCTCCTCTCCGGAGACCTCGCCCACACTGCTGTGGACGGGGGAGGTTGGCGATGCGTCACGCTTCCGTGTCTGGGGATCCCGAGCTTTTGTTCGCGACACGTCTGCGGACAAGCTCTCCTCCCGCACTGCTCCCTGTGTCTTTCTTGGCTTTGCCCCGGATGCGTCTGGCTGGCAGTTTTACCACCCCGCCTCGCACCGCGTCTTCCTCTCTCAGGACGTCACTTTTGACGAATCTGTGCCCTTCTACCGCCTCTTCCCCTACCGCACTGCCCCGCTCCCTCCCCCGCCTCTCTTCCTCGCGCCAGGTGCTGCAGTGGTAGACCCCCTCCCCCCTCAGGGTGCCGCTCCCTCAGGTGTCTCTCAGGTAGACCCGGTTGAGCCTGCCGAGGTAGCTGTCGACTCGCGTCCTGCTAGAGGTGCTGAGCCTGAGCGTGCGGAGCTTGAGCGTGCGGAGCCTGAGCGGGCGGAGCCTGGGGGTGCTGAGCCTGGGGGTGTTGAGACTGGGTGTGCTGAGCCTGGGGGTGCTGAGTCTGGAGGTACTGAGACTGGGGGTGCTGAGCCTCGGGGTGCTGGGTCTGAGGGTACTGAGCCTGGCGTTGCTGAGTCTGGGGGTACTGAGCCTGGTTGTGTTGCAGTTGACTGTGAGGCGCCTGGAGGACCTACCTCTTCGCAGCAGCTCCGTGAGTGGTACTCACGGTACTGCAGCCTCCGGCGGGGTGCGTCTCGGGCTCGTGGTGCTACTGGAGTTGGTACTCGTGTTTCCCCACCACGGCGGGAGCCGCCCTCTTCCCCATAGCTTTGAGAGTGGTACGCTCGGCACATCAGTCTCCGGAGTGGAGCTGCTGGTGCTGGGGTCCTCGGAGTTGACGCTGCTGCGGGTGCTGCGGACCCTGGTGCTGGAGGTGTTGCTGCTGCTGGCGGTGCTGGTGGAGGTGCTGCTGGTACTGAGGACCCTGGTGCTGGAGGTGCTGCTGCTGCTGGTGGTGCTGCTGCTGGAGGTGCTGCTGCTGCTGCTGGAGTGGAGGACCCGGAGGGTGGAGCTTCTGCTGGTGCTGAGGACCCTGCCGCTGGAGCTTCTGCTGGTTCGAGAGTTGCTGCACGGCCATGGCCGTACTTCGTTCCGCTCCTTCAGCAGGTTCTTAGTCAGTGTCCTCCTCTCGCCTTAGAGTGTCCTCCGTCTGTCCAGTCATAGCCACAGTTACCGACTGCCTCCCCACTCCCTGTGCCTACTCCGTACACTGGTCCGACTGGAGGTCTAGCTGAGAGACGTGAGCCTGCTTCACGTCCTGTGTCCCCTGCGTCTCGTCGAGCTGTTCGTGTTGCTACCACTGCTAGTCGTGTCCAGCGTCAGCGTCCTCCTGCTGTCCCAGGCACACACCAGATGGCGCTTCGTCAGTCCACTGCTCCGCAGCGTGTTGCTCTCCCGTCGCCTCCTGCGTCCTCTCTTCCTGCCCTTGCTGACCCGGAGTCAGACACCCTTCGCGCTGCCAGTCCTACTGTCACACGTCTCCTCGCTACGGTTGTCACTGACCCTTCCTTTGAGTCCGCTGCTGCGTCTGCCTTAGTCACTGAGCTTGTCGACTTTGCAGCTGCGTGCCGTGTAGACTACGCTGCGAGTCTTGTTGCTGAGTCTGAGTCTGTCTGTCCTCCGTCCGTCGGGGGTGAGTGTGCTCTTGGCACGGACGTTCTTGAGGACAGGCAGGAGGAGGTTGGTTGCCTTGCCGCTGCTTTGCCCCATCTCGTGTCCATGCTCGTTGCCCCTGAGGGAGACCCGGATGCACCAGACATCCCGACCCCACGCTCTTACGCAGAGGCGATGGCCGGTCCCTACTCCTCTCAGTGGCAGTCAGCCATGGACACAGAGATGGCTTCCTGGAAGTCCACTGGCACCTACGTCGACGAGGTTCCCCCACCTGGGGCGAACATCGTCAGTGGCATGTGGATTTTCAGGGTGAAGCGGCCGCCGGGCTCTCCGCCTGTCTTCAAGGCGCGTTACGTTGCACGAGGCTTCAGTCAGCGAGAGGGAGTTGACTTCTTCCAGACCTTCTCCCCGACCCCGAAGATGACCACTCTTCGGGTTCTGCTACACGTCGCCGCTCAGCGTGACTACGAGCTCCACTCTCTAGACTTCAGCACAGCTTTCTTGCAGGGCAGCCTGCACGAGGAGATCTGGCTGCGCCGCCCACCTGGCTTCACTGGGTCGTTCCCTCCTGGTACCCAGTGGAGCCTCCGGCGGCCAGTCTACAGTCTCCGCCAGGCCCCACGTGAGTGGCACGACACACTGAGGACTACACTTGCGGCTCTTGGGTTCGCTCCCTCTACTGTAGACCCGTCGCTGTTTCTACGCACCGACCCCTCGCTGCCGCCGTTCTACATCCTTGTGTACGTCGACGACTTGGTCTTTGCCACTTCTGACACAGTTGGTCTCGCTCACGTGAAGTCCGAGCTGCAGAAGAGACACACGTGCACAGACCTGGGTGAACTGACAAGCTATCTTGGCTTGCGGATCACCCGGGACAGAGCACGGCGCACCATCACCTTGACTCAGTCACACATGGTGCAGCAGGTCCTTCAGCGCTTCGGCTTCACGTACTCCTCGCCTCAGTCCACTCCTCTGCCTACGGGACACTCGCTCTCAGCTCTACCTTCGGATGAGTCCGTAGAGCCGAGTGGTCCGTATCCAGAGCTTGTGGGCTGCCTCATGTACCTGATGACCTGCACTCGACCTGACCTTGCATACCCTCTCAGCATCTTAGCACGCTATGTCGCTCCCGGCCGTCACCGGAAGGAGCACATGGATGCAGCTAAGAGGGTGTTGTGTTACTTGTGCAGTACGTCAGGCATGGGGCTAGTGCTTGGAGGGCGAGACCGGCCTGTTCTCACTGGGCACTCAGACGCTTCCTGGGCAGACGACCAGGCTACTCAGCGGTCGTCCCAGGGTTACACCTTCAGTCTTGGCTCTGGCTCTGTCTCTTGGCGTTCTACTCGCTCTTCTTCTGTTCTCAGCTCCAGCTGTGAGGCTGAGATCTACGCCACGGCCATGGCTGCCCAGGAGCTTTGCTGGCTCACCTACCTGCTGATTGACCTTGGAGAGCAGCCTCGTTCTCCTCCAGTGCTGTACGTCGACAACAAGGCCACCATTGCCTTGTGTGGGGAGCACAGACTGGAGCACAGGACGAAGCACATTGCTCTGCGCTACTTTCTTGCTCGAGAGCTGCAGCAGCGAGGTCAGCTTTGTCTGCGTTACGTGGCCACTCGGGCCAACACTGCTGACGTGTTCACCAAGGCGCTTCAGCCTTGTGACCATCAGCGCTTCTGTACTGTTCTAGGCCTCGTGCCTACTGTCCCTCATTTGCTCACTTCTTGACTTTGCTTGTACAGTGATCTCTATATATATATACCTGCATGCTTACTCTTGCTAGGTTGTGATTACTGTATCTCTTATTCTTTTATAAATCTGCATGTGAACTGGTCTTGTGACCGCTTGCTTGTGCTCGGAACTTGTGTGGTATCCTTGAGATCCACCCTGAGCTTTGTTTTGCTTTGACTGGTCTTGTGACCCCTTGTTCTCCCCCACTTTGCCTATGGGGGTGTGTCAAACATTGTATGATGTGCTTGTTTAGGCTACAGTGGGTTAGCCTATAGTGGGTACACATTTCTAGGGTTAGGTTTGACCTATTTGTACCCAACACTCATCCTAGTCATTCATTCTCGTTTCTGATTCTGACATCAACTGCTCCATCGTCTGATTCGTCCGCTCTGTTTGACCGTCGGTGTTGGGGTGGTACGACGAACTGAACTGTAGCCTGGTCCCGAACTGCTCCCAGAGGTTCTTCCAGAAGTTGCTGGTGAATTTCGTGTCCCTGTCGCTGATAATCGCTGTTGGTATCCCGTGCAGGCGAACAACGGCTGCGATGAACAGGCGAGCGGTCTCCTCCGCTGAGATCGACTTTTTGCACGCAGCGAAGTGTGCCATCTTCGTCAACCTGTCAATGACGACCATCACCGCGTCGTCACCCCCAAGGTTCGAAGGTAACCCTGTGACGAAGTCCATGGTAACCTGCTGCCAGGCGCGCTCGGGCGGTGGTATCGGCTGCAATTGACCCGCCTTCCGCTTCCTCGAGCTCTTCATCACCTGACATGTGGGACACGAGCCCACATGCTGCTGCACGTTGGTCAATAGCTCCGGCCAGTAGTAATACCGCTGCAGTTGCTGTCGCGTTTTTTCTACCCCAAAATGTCCCGAGGTAATTCCGCCGTGTGCCTCCTGCAGTAACAGCTCCCTCAGTAGTGAGTACGCGGGTACCCAGATGCGGTTGGTGCCTGTTTTTATGTAATAAACTCCTTTAGCTTCTGTCAGTTGCTGTGAATTTCCGGTCGTGAAAAATGGGTCGGTGCGGTATCCCTGGGTAAATAGGCCTGTTAAAAGCGGGTTTGTTTGGGCGAGTAGGATGGCATGGAGTTGGGCGGTAGGGCGGGTGAGTGCGTCGGCGATATTGGATGCGCCTTTCTTGTACGTAACCGTGTAGTGGAAGTTGGACTCGAGGTAGTCCAACCAGCGAATCTGTCGCGGATTGAGATTTGGTTGGGCACGCAGGTACTGTAGCGATCGGTGGTCTGTCCGTACTGTCACGTCGGCGCCAGTCAGGTAACACCACCAAACCTTGAGCGCGTGCACGATCGCCAATATTTTGCGGTCGTGTATTGGGTAGTTGCGTTCGGGCGGGTGCAGCTTGCGAGACTCGTACGCGATTGGCTGGAGGCCGTTCCCGAAATCCTGCAACAGGACCGCTCCCACAGCGATGTCAATTGCGTCGGTGACGAGCTCGAATGGATGGTGCGGATCTGCGATGTGAAGCACGGGCGGGGAGCACAAAATGTTTTTGAGGGCCGAGAAGGCAACTTGCTCCTTCTCCCCCCACGTGTACTCAACCCCCTTCCTCAGCAGGTCGGTCAGCGGGGCAGTCAGTTTCGCCATGTCGGTCAAGTTGGTCGGTGCTTGCCATGCTTGAACCGTCGCAATTTTTTTCGGGTCTATTTCCACTCCTTCAGCTGAAATAATGTGGCCCAAAAACTCCAGTCGGTCCTGTAAAAACTCACACTTAGACGCTTTGGTCAGTTGGCAGTTCTCACTCATTATCTTGAAATCTGCTTCGATGTCCTGTAAGTGCTGTGCTCTGTCGGGGCTGTAAATCATTATGTCGTCCAGGTATAAGGTGACGCACTTATCTAAAAGCGGGCGGAAAGCTTCGTTCATGGTCATTTGAAAAGTGGCGGGGGCGTTGGTCAGTCCGAAGGGCATGACGCTGTAATCGAAGGATCCGTAGCGTGTGCGAAATGCGGTCTTTGTGAAGTAAGGAAAACAGGAATGAAATGACTAAGGAAAGATTGGGTACAAATACAACCCTAGAAACCCTGTACCCCATATGTGCTACCCCACTATAGCCTAGAAACATGCATCAGCTATAATACTCTGACACACCCCCATAGGCTAAGTGGGGGAGAACAAGGGGTCACAAGACCAGTCAAGCAAAGCAAAGCAAAGCAAGCTCAGGGTGGATCACAAAGTCACCACACAGTCCGAGCAC